TTGTCGACGCAGTCCGTGCACGTGTGGCCGAACGTGTTCGCGTACTCGAACTTGGACAGGGGCACGTGGCCGCTGTAGCCCGGCGGGCGGTCCGCCGGGAGGAAGTTGATGTTGTCGCGGTCCGTGTGCACGGGCCGCACGGGGATGCCGCCGTGCGTGCCCTCCTGCTGCGCGCTAGCCTCGTTCGTGTCGTACTCCATTTCCTTGGCGACGCGCGTCATGTTGCTGTAGGTCGACCCGTAGAAGTGCTGGGCGCCGCGGATGAAGCCCGCGTAGCCGGGGATGTTGCCGTTGCCGACGTCGGCGACGGGCACGGACAGGTCGACGGACCGCGCGTCGCGGAGCGCCTTGGGCGTGCGGTCGAAGACGACCGTGTTCGTGCCGTTGAGCATCTCCGTCGTCACGGTGGCGAGCATGCGCGGCTTCTTCGGCGACTCGCGGACCTGGCTCCGGAGGTCGCCGACGAGCGTGTTCGTCGTCTGGCCGAACCTGGGCGGGGAAAGCGTGATGCAACGTCGCTTCAACGCGAGCGCGCCGCTTTCGCGCGTTCCGGGAAAAGCATCCACGCGTCGACACCGTTCCGAGCGATGATCGCTCGTCCAAAGATCAGCCGAAACGAGTGGAAAACGGCCGAGATCGGAGCCTTTGAAGTTGGGCACGTCGCTCTCTTTTGCCGCCCCGGGCCGCGCGTCGACGCGAACTCGAACTTGGAGCCGGGCACGTAGCCCGCGTAGCCCGGGAGGCGGTACTTGGCCTCCCGGTCGTCGCCCTCGCCCTCCGTCGACGGGAAGGTCGAGCCCATCTTCAGCGCGCCGGAGATGCCGTGCGGCACCTCGTCGACGGGGTTGCCCTCGGGGTCGGGCCCGAACTCGTGCGCGGACGCGCGGCGGCTCATGCGGCCGTAGGTCGACCCGTAGAAGTGCTGCGACCCGCGGATGAAGCCCTTGTAGCCCGGGATGGCGCCCTCGGCGTTCTCCTCGGGGATCTGCTCCCGGTGCGTGCCCACGAAGGGGTCCTTGATCTCGAGCATGGAGCTGCTCGCGCTCGCCGCCAAGCCGTTCGTGATCGTCTTCCCCTCGCTGCTCGGGATCGGCGGCAGCGACGGCACCATGGGCATGGACGCCATGGGGCAACGCGGAGACGACGCTCTCTTAGCGCTCAGTCCCGGTGAGTTTCGAGTGGGCAGCTTTCGAGTGTTTATGGATACCGATCTGCGCGTTGCAGTCGCCCGGCGACCGAGCGCACGTGACGCCGAAATTGCGGGCGCCCCCACCCGGCATGATGGATCTCCGAAGGGCCCCGGCCGGCGCTATGTTGCGCTCGCGGTCGACGCTCGCGGGCCCCCAGCGGCCTCGCAGCGATGGCACGACCCGGGAGCCCGCCGGGGTCGACCCGCGGGGAGGCGAGCCCGGCCGCCCAACATACCGGGATATGGTAAAAGGCGCCTCAACTTTAGGTCCGGGGAAGGCGACGGCGACCTACGCGAGGGACGTGCCCGCGCCGGGGAGCCCCCC